GTAAAAGTTATAATAACCTTGACGCACACTACTACTAATTTAAATCATGCAGTGTTCTTGTGTGTTTTATTCAGACAACTGCTTCCTGGACTAAGTACTAGTTTCTCATGAGCACAAATAAGTATTCTGGGATTCTCATTCTTCTTAATGTTAGTCCTAATTTGTTATGATCCACATGGTCAAATATCTTAATTAATAAAAAACAAGTAAGCATCTTTCCAGTATTATATACTTTTACCCATATCTATCTGGCCTTAACAATGATGCATTTAATTTCATGGCCTTTTCTCTAATCAGCTTAGATTCCTAACAATTCAGTATTGATGTACTATTCCAGTCACCTTTAAATAATAATCAACAAGTCTTATTATGGCATATGATATTGTTACTGTTCAATAATTTCCAGTGATTACTTTTTGTGTGAAGGGGAACAGAAATGGATAATTTCTAGTCAGTCGGTCAAGTAGTCGCCAATTTTTTTACCTAGACTAGTAAGCATGTCCAGCGACATCTATTTGTTGAATTAAGTCAATTCTATCCACCCCTGGAATGCCTTCAGTGTAGTCTGAATTTTTTCCTTCATTATCATTAGTTATTCCTAAAATAGTTCACTGTCAACCAATCTTTTTTGTTACAGTTACACTTTGTATTTCTTCAATCTTTTTTTTTTTTTAATTTTCATTTTATACTGGTCTATTTACAAAGTTTGAATACATGGTTTTACTCACCGGATCTTTCCTATTTCTTTCACTCCACCCTGACACCACCAAATTGTACAATCCTATGATTAGCCTCCCCTCCCCACCAATCTTCACCCCTGTGCTTCCACTCCCACCCTTGGATCCTCATACTCATTCTACAATAATGGTATTATACAGTATTTGTCCTCATGGGATTGAGTTAGTTCACTCAACATAACTTGTTAATCATAAGGTTGCACAATTCAGTGGGTAGATCAGGTGAAGGAAACGAGAAAGATCCTTTGTGAAAAACAATGTATTCAAATTTGTAAATGAATCAGAGTAATAAAAAAAATAAAAAAAATCAAAATTGTTGCTCCTGTGTGCCACATCATATTACATTGTGCAAATGTACCATACTTTCCCTATCCATTCGATTGTGGTTGGATGTCTGGGCTGTTTTCATGTTCTTTCATGTTCTTGCAATGTTGAGTAATCCTACTATGAACATTGGCGTACAAGTCTCCATTTGTACGTCAGTTCCCATTTTCTCAAAACCTATACAATGGTAGTAAACAAAGTGGTATGTACTGATACAATGACAGACACATATACCAATGGAACAGACTTGAGAACCCAGAAATAGACCCAGCTATCTATGGTTAACTGATATTTGAAAATCTTCTTTTGATATTGCCTAGATCATTTAAGATTTTGCTTAGAAATTGAGGCTTGACATTTTCACGAGTTCCTTCAGTTTAAGCAATGTTCTTTCCTTTTGGTTTTCTTACACCAGCTATGAAATAAACACTTCGAAGTAGAAACCACTTTTTGGCATTAATTTAAATTAATAGCTTATTTTTTCTTTATTTTTTTATGAATTAGACATTTGTATTGTTAAAACAAAAATCATCTTAGCCAATAATTGAAATTAATTAAGCTTATTTAACACATAATTTCCAATTCAGATTAACGTCTTTATGCTGTTATTATTATTATGTGCATTCTAGTCACCTGCAAGTCATAGTGATGGATAATAGCTCTGAATCTTGCCTACCCTGAGCAAGTCTTATTGTCTGTGACACACCTAGCTCCATTACCCCAGTTACTATGTTAATCCATTTAATCTGGGGGTCTTCCTTTTCTGCACTGTTCCTCACGCTTCCAAGCATGACACCCTTCTCCAAGGACATTTTGATGAAGGAGTTAAAAAGAAATGTACTTAAGATGAGATAATCTCTAGCTATTCTTAAGCCATTGCCATGGGAAGGGAAAAGAGAGAGTAGAAATTATTTTAAAATATTGTGGTCAGAAGTATTGCTTAAAGCAATTTCTGAAGAACAATGAAGAATAATTACTAGTTTAGCTTAAAACTTAACTATAGTCTTACCTTAAATGTTTGGGTTTTGGATTTTGGTTGTTTTTGTTTCCATTTTTGTTTTACTCAGACCATATAGACTTCTTCAGAAGATCACAATGCCCAAGGTAAAACATTCTTAAAAGTTTCTACAGATCCTTGTTTGACTCAAAATTGACTTTAAGGTACCTGCTTCTTCAAGGCAAGAGAGAGAGAGAATGAGAGAGAGGGGAAGGAAGGAAGGAAGGAAGGAAGGAAGGAAGGAAGGAAGGTTCCTAAGTCCAATACCAGTAGTTTAAATCAGGCTGATTGTGGAACAGACCATCAAATACTCATGTGAAAAAATGAAATTGAAGACTAGAAAAATTAAAACAAGTCCACAAGAACTAAAATATAACCTTGAGTATATCCACACTGAATGTAAAAGCAATTTAAAATAGATTTGAGATGGTGATCACTAATAATCAAAGGCCAGCTGAGTTATGGACATCATCCTTGAAACAAATAGAATGTCATTACAAAGATAGGATAAAAAAAAAAAAGATTGAAATGAATGTTTGAACATATTGGAATGAAAAGAAGCCAAAAAAGGGAAATAATGCTGAAGTGAGAACTGAAGCTTTCAAAAGGCAGCTTGAGAAGACAAAGTAACGTATTGCAATGAAGTATGGAAATAAAGGGGGTTTTTTTATAAACTTTCATTAAAATCTAAAAAAAGGTGAGAAATATCATACTTAACATTTCTCAAGCTTTAAGAACTAAAGGACAAATTCAAGCCTCAAGATGCAGTTCTGAAGGATTCTACGGGCAAAATCTTAAAGGAAGCAGGAAGTATCAAAAAAAGATGGAAGGAATTAATAGAATCATTTTACCAAATAGAATTTCTTTGTGTTGTACCATTTCAGGAAGAAGACTATGATCAAGGATTCAAGAGGGGTGGGAGAGGCTGGAGACAGAGGGATGTGGATGTGCAGGGGAGGGGGCGATTAATCATTAGTTTGTACATTTTTTGGGGGGTGTGAGGGAAATTGAAAGAACTTGTTCAAATTTGTATTCAAGTTTTGTAACTAAATTAGTAAAGAAAAACAAAAAGAGGAAAAAGTTCAAGCTGCACTGAAGGCAATGACAAAAAATAATTCCTCAGAAATTGATGGGATATCAATTGAGGTGTTTCAGTAAACAAATGCAACCCTGAATGTGCTTATCTGTTTTTGCCAAAAAATATGAAAAACAGCTCCCTGGTCAACTGAATGAAAGAGGTCAATATTTTCTTCTATTCCCCAAAATTATAATCAAACAAACTCTGGACTATATCAAGCAATATCAGTAATATATGTAAGTAAAATATTACTAAAGATTACTTACAAATGGTTGGAACAATCTTTCAAGAGGGAACTACAAGAAATTCATGCAGGATTCGGAAGAAACTGTGCCACGAAGGATACCATAGCTGACATCAGATGGATCTTGATGGAAAACAGAGTATATCAGGCAGATTTTTTTGTGTGTACTTGTGTTCTATTGATAATGCAAAGATACTTGATTGTGTGGTTCATAAAAATATGGTTAAAATTGAGAAGCATAGGAAACCCAGAAGATTTAATTATGTTCATGAGAAACCTATACATAGTGTAAAAAGCAGTTGTCTTAATAGAAAAGAGAACACTCTGTAGTTAAAAACCATGAAATATATGTGTCAGGGTTGTATCCTTTCTTCATACTTTAGAAGCATGTGAAATAGAATGTGGCATCGATATTGGAGGAAGACTCACAGACAAATTTGCTTGCAGAAAGTGAAGATGACTTGAAGTATTCATTACAGAAAATCAAAGACTAAATCCTTCAATATGAGTTACGCTTGAATAATATGAAACACCGTGGTAGATGGAGAAAAGCTTGAATTGCTTTATAACCTCATTTTACTTAGATGCGTAATCAATACCCATGGTAGCAGCAGTTGAGAAATCAAAATACATGTTGCATTGGGAAAACCTGCTGCCAAGGACCTTTACAATGTGCTAAAGAGCAAGGATATCTGTAAAGTCTAAGGTGTACCTGATTCAAATTATGTTTTTTTTTTAATTGCTTCTTTGAGTTGTGGTGTTGGAGAAGAGTATTGAATATTCCATTGGTTCCTAAAATGAACCAACAAGTCTTTCTTGAAGGAAGTACAACCAGAGCATTTCTTAGAGGCAAGGGTGGTAATTTTACTTCCTGTATCACTGACTTTAGACATATACTTAGGAGGGACCACTCCTTGTAGACAGACATCATGCTGGGAAAGTCTAAAGGTTAGAGACAGAGAAAATGACCCTCATCAAGATAGAATGATACCGTAACTTTCACAATATGCTTCTTGGGAATGACAGAGATTGTGAGGATGATGCAGGATAGCACAGGGTTCAGATCTGGTGCTCCATGATTCACCGTTAACTCAATGACATCTAATAACAACAGGAACTAAGTGTCCTGGGTGGATTACCCCCAACTTCATGGAACATATGTGTATAGATTGCAGAAAATTAAAGTGATTGTTCAGTATTCGTTAGCTCTAAGAGCCATTTCTACATACTAAAAGAATATGATCTTGTCCATAATAACACATTCTAAAGTCATTCCTAGTTTTCATTACATTATTGATCATGAAAAAATTATTTTTAAAATATCACACGTTAGTAACTTGATGGGGTGTTCTTTCACATGTAATTTCCCAGTTAATTCTAAAAATACACATATAAGAAAAAGTATTATCTTCTTATTACTGAATATTCTAAATGAGTTAAAATGATTTGGCCACAAACTCATCGATCTAGGGGAGAAGCAGAGAATTTATCTGTGCAAACGGCAGGCACTGTATCTGTGTAAGTTTTCCTATTTCTTTGCCTCAAAGTCTAAATGTAAATAAATTTTTGCCACTGGCCCCACAGTTTCTTAATAACATGTATCTGTTTTTCTGCTCCTAGCAGGCCAGGGCTTTGTAAGTGAGGATGAGTACCTGGAGATCACTGACATCAAACGAGACCAGTCTGGGGAATACGAGTGCAGTGCCTTGAACGACGTTGCTGCACCAGATGTGCGGAAAGTAAAAATCACTGTAAACTGTGAGTTGACCTGCTATTAGGGAGTTCCAGGGGAAGAAGGTCTAGAGATAACAGGGGCAAGCTGACAATGGAAAAGCCATTTTTTGAAAGGTCAAGTTGCTATGAACAGAATAACATTTCATAGACTGCTTTGCCCCGTCAATTACCCCATTGCCATTTGCTCTTGGAATCTTTCCATGATTTTCAGTGCTTTCAGCTGATGGGAAAAATTATTAACTATGAATTGGTTGGAAATTTGAAGAAGACACAAAGATTAATGCAATGAATTCAAACAATAAGTTATTTTCGTAAAATGAATGATTATTTAACTGGGAGGGAGGGCGGAATATCACAAATGTCCATTTATAGAGCAAGTGGCTAAATATACCTTCTGCTTATTTCATGGAATATCTGTGCATTTGTTTTCTTCCCGTAGATGCCCCCTATATTGCCAAAGCCAAAAATACTGGTGTCTCAGTTGGTCAGAAAGGCATCTTGAGCTGTGAGGTTTCTGCAGTACCGATGGCTGAATTCCAGTGGTTCAAGGAAGATACCAGGTAGCTTGGAAATGGAACTAGGGCAACTCTGAGCAAAGTTAATGGATCGTTCCCCACATGAAAGAAGATAATAAAATAAAAAAGAAAGAGGCATAGCAAGATGCATTACAGTCTTCTTTGTAACAGGGTCTCCTTTCAGAACAAATGAAAAGAAAAAGAAGTAGCAGCAGCTTGAAAATGAACAAAACGAATTAACTTTGTTTCTGAGTCCAAGATTACTCGTAGGCATGTCAGTCAGTCTTTGAAGGCTTTAAGTGAGTGAATTTAGCCTTTTGAGCATGACCATCCTTTCACTTTTCCTCTTTATGGAAGTTGGTGTTTAAGGTTTTATTTAGAGGAACTAAGAGAGTTAGATAAAATGGGTTTTTTGAGGAGGAAGGCTTTCATGTGTGATTGACTTGTGATATATTTTAACTCTTTCACCCACTCAGTTGTTTGGTCAGCTTTGTAAAACCACTCCTGTTCAATTGCAGGTTAGCCACTGGCTTGGATGGAGTGAGGATTGATAACAAAGGCCGCATATCCACTCTGACTTTCTTCAATGTTTCAGAAAAGGATTATGGGAACTACACATGTGTAGCCACAAATAAGCTTGGGAACACCAATGCCAGCATCTCATTGTATGGTGAGTGCAGAAAGTCTGGATGTGGTGGGCTCAGCCACATGGGAGGGTTTAAAGAACTTGAGAGGGAGGAAGGTATAATTATTTTGGCCTATGTCCATCCAACCTCCTTCCACCCACCACTATATATTACTACTCCCTGTCATTCATCACAATCAGTGATATTTACAAGATTGTCATTATTTCCTGTGTTATTGAAAGACAAATTTCACACTTTACTGAATAGTAAACTGTATTCTAATCTGGCCATGTCTTAATTTCAACAAGAAGACTGAACCACAGGTCAGGTTAATTGTAATTGGGTTTAAAAAGTCTAAGAGAATGAACCACACATGAATTTTTAAGATAACCTCCATAGTAAGAGTGTGATCCTAGAAATTATATTTATAATTTTGAACAAAGTCAGCTATTGTGTTCATGATCTTCATGTCATGTTCTGGAGTATGTGGAACAGAAATACAAATTTTATCATGACAGTTAATCTCTTCACTGTTGGAACATGTGACCCTTCTCTGAAGTTCTTCCCATCTCACATGGGCAGAGAAGTCTCCAGAGTCATGACTGGCTTCATAGAAGCCTTTATCCTCCCCTCATTCCATCTTCCCAGCATTGTACCTATGTGATTGTGTAACATGTCACACCATAGACCATGGCCAGCTTGCTGTGATATCGTATGTGTATTTATCTGTTTATTTTCTACGGTTTGGTAGGAGGGAAGTATTTAATGAATCAAAGGAAGAGGTATCCATTTCCATGTGCATCACAGAACCACATCAAGTTTTCAGCATGGACATTTACTAAACTTTGTCCACTTAAATGTATGATCTATGTTTTTTGTTTCCTCTCTGCATTTTGTGTGCATTGTGCTGTGTGTGTCTTAGAAATAAGCCCCTCATCAGCAGTGGCAGGTGGGTACAGCATGTTCCTTCCTTCCTCTGCCTGCCTGAATGCTTGTGTTTTTTAATTTAAGTGAATTTGAGAGATAGACCTGCCTGTCCCACCTCCCTGACTTATTTCTCCATAGATGATAGATTTCAAGGACTTATGTTTGTACAATTTAAGTAACAAGCATGTGGAATTTGATGGTTTTTACATGTACACAGATGAAACATCGTAATAGATTTCAAAGGAAAGGTTTAGTCAAGAAAACCATAGCCCAGAGATTAAATGGACTATTAGATGATTATCTCCATGGGAATGTCACCTAGTATGGTATTTCAGTCTTTTATTCCTAAGAAGACTTAGATATATTTGAAAGTATCATTCATTAGAAATATCTGCCACTTATCACTTATTTGCTGGAGTTCTGGTGGCCTAGTGGCAAGAAGCTACGCTGTAATCCCAAAGGCACGCAGTTCGAGTCTACCTGTGCCTCGTTGGAGGATGGGCAATCTCCTCCTGTGTGATTATCTGCCTCCCAAAACCTGCTGCAGGGTCAGCTATGGGTCAGTTCTGACTTGACGGTACACACAACAAGAGGGGAGTTCAGGTGTAGACCACACTGAGTTTCACTGCCAGCCCACTGTCAGCATGTCCTTGGTGGTTCAAATCCACTAGTGGCTCTATGGGAGACTATGGTCAGTCTTCTGTCATGCTATCGACAGCCTCATAAAACCTTTTGGGTGGTGAGCTAAGAGTTAGTTTTAACTTGAAGCCAATGAGTTTGAGTAGTCATTTATTGTCTTCATTATTAATCCTGCTGAGTTAGGTTCTTAGCCCCACTCAATAGATGAGTGGGAGTAATACCAAAGATGTTGAGTAACTCTCAGTGTACATAACAAGTGGAAGAACACTGGAGGAGACCAGAATTGGTTTCTTTCATCAGGTGTTGAAAAGTTTACCCAAAGGAGAAATAGGATAGCACACACAGATGTGCACACATACTTGCACACCCTCACTCTTCATTTTAGATGAAGTAGTGATCAGTGTCAGCTCTGTTCCACACTCACAACCTTCCAGTTTTACAATGTCAATTTCAGTCACATGGAAAATGGTAACATTCAAATTTTCCAGGTATGTTATCAACTTCTTAGTCCTGTGTTCAAGACAATTTTGTATCACCAGCGCTATTTCAATATTTTTCATGAATGTCTTGGTTTTTTTTTTTTTATTTTTAGTCCAGATAAAATTGAGGTAAAGCACTGGAATCTGCTGCAGGCTTTTGTCTTCTGGCCTCAGTTAGAGTGGCTTTGACCATTAGTAGCAAGAGATAAGATAAATAGAAAAAGCCTAATATACATCCAGACATGCCATTTTCTTTCCCACTTTGCCATTAATCACAGAAAGACCCATGAAGTAGATAATAAGAGGAAATAGATTAACATCCTTATTAAATTACATATCAGCCAGGTGAGTTTGGGTAAACCCCTTATGCTGGTGAGCTATGCTCACCTGCTATTCATCACAACGTATGGTACAGTGATATAACACATATTGTGAATTTACATTAAAATTTATCTGAAAAGTTTAAGGAGAGGATTAAACAATGTCATAGGGAGCTTTGGTGGCGTCTATAAAGCATTGAACAGCTAACCTAACAGCATCAGTTCAAACCTGCCAGCTGTACTTACTTAAATAAAGAATCTTATTAAAGGTCCAGTTAGATGTGTAATGACAACACACAAAGATTAGAAGCCTTAGTTACTCAGCTAAGCTTTGAATAGTATTCTCTGATCTATTGTCTTAATAGGGCCTTTGTCTAATAGGCATAAGATAATATCATATCTATGAAAGTAGCACAAGAAACTGAATACTGCTAGGAAAATGCAAGATTTATTTTTACTGGTCTCTGTCATTTCTTCTGTGGCCCTGTCCTTTCTATCACCGTCTCCATTGGCACAGTTGTCAATATGATTGCTTGTCTGAACTTCTGGTTTTTATTCATTCAGCCTCATGAAACTTCTCACTATAATCCTTACCCATCTCTATCACTTACCCAATCTTGCTTTCTTCACATGGTGTTTTACCACCTTTCAGATCTTGGTCCAAGCCTCTCTCTTTTTCTATGACGCCTACTCTGACCTCCCTGTCTGGACCAGCTCCTTGTTGCACATCCTTTGCACCTTGCCTCTGATTTGATTTCACACAATCTGGCAATCATTCAGGACACAAGCACTGAATGACTACTCAGAGCTGGGCAATAGAGAAATGACAGATGGACTTCTTGTTTCTACCAGCTTTAAACTCCAGTTTCAGTGGTGGTTTTGTTCTTTCCACTGTGGCATATAAACTACACGAACGTATGTGCATGCTTTCTTTGGCGTGTTGTTTAATAAAAGGGATTTAGCACAGAAATTCACACACAGTTACTGGTCAGGAGTGTTACGATGAACTTTCAGCTTTCAGTAATGTTACAGAAGAGAGTAGAGGTTGTTCATCCCAAAGCCTTTCTAAACCAAGTTCTGCTGCTACCTTGTTGTACTTTAGGAAAGTCAATCCCATTGGTCTTTGACTTTTTTAATCAGTAAAATAATTTTTCATAACAAATCCTTGGTGTTTTCTAATGCTATATTTGATGGTAATAGTTTTAATATTAATCCAACTAATGTTAACTGCCCAGTTGACAAAACTTTCTGCTGTTCATGATAGCTCATTGAGTTCTCAGCATTCCTGTGAGACTATGCACTATATTGCATAGTTTATTTCATTTACTAGGCCATTGGCTGCACCATGATGTATAGAGAAGACATAGAGGTTGTTAATAGTTACAGCTTGCTCAGCTACTCAGTCAACACTTTCAGCACCTGCAGTCAGAAAATCAAGAGGTGAACTGCATTAGGTAAATCTGTTGTCAGGGATTTTCCAGAATTCTGAGAAACAATGACATCAGTCTAGAGACTATGATGTACCTGATCCAGTCCATGGTCTTCATTATTACTTTCTATGCATCAGAGAGCTAGATAATGACTAAGCAGGATAGAAGAAGATTTGATTCTTTTGAGTTGTGGTGCTGGATAAGAGTCGTGAACATACCATGGGCCACCAGGAGAACATGTAAGTTTGTCTTGGAGAAGGTGAAACCAAGTTTCTCCTTGGAGGCTAGGATTTTGAAGCTCCATCTTACATATTTTGGACATGTGTCCAGGAGGAAGCAATCTTTGGAGACGGATATTATGCTTGGGAGGGTGGAGGGACAGTGTAGGAGAGGAAGATCCGGGATGAGATGGATTGATACAGTAACTGGTGCAATGGAAGTAGGTATGTTGGAGTCAGTGATAGTGGCTCAGGACAGGGCAAGCTTCAGAGCTATTGTACACAGGGTTACTATGAGTTGCAGGGGACTTGATAGCACATAACAACAACAACTACAACAACCAAATAAGTACTATATTGATCTCAATTTTATTGAGAATATTGAAGGACAGAGAGATTATTTAGACAGACTGAAGTGTTTGCGCTTGGGTTTGAGCCCATGCCCTTTGATTTTCAGATCCTGACCATTTTGCTATTGTTTTAATCCAACATTCCAATCCAATCCACAGTATTTGGAAATTCCAAATACTGGTGAATGGTCTTCTAATGAAAATACTTGCTAAAAATTACTCTGCTTTTGCCCATTTTTCAGGTCTACTTCACTTTTCTATTTAATTTTTATCTCATTTTACAAAGGATCAGTTCTGTTTTTATAATTCGCACACTAATGCACACTCACTCACTCATGCACATAGATATCCAGGTACCACGCACATATTCACATTTGGTTCTGCACCTATGAATGAACCATGATATTTACATACATAAGTCTTTCATGCATACTACTTTCAAATATTTTCACTCATATCTGCAAGTAAGATATAAAGAAAAAAATTTTAAAATTAGCAAAGGAAAATAAGAAAAAATAATTCAAAATACTAGTGAGCCAATGAACTGGTGAGTGGATTGAAGCAGGAAATGATTAGGAAAAATTAAAAGACAAAATTTAGTGGGTGAATGTTCAGTAAAAATCAATCAGTAGCTAATTAGTTTTAGAGTAATTCCTAATTGTTGTTGTTTTCTAGTTTTGC